CCCAATTTCCCCTGTGCTCCCCCCAGCCATGTTCCCCATCCCCCACCAAAAACTATTCTAGGTTGGGGCAGGCAGTGGCTCAGCTCTGGCTTCAGCCTGGGATCAAAGTCAGATCAGAGCTCCCACCTGCCCCAGGCTGGTACTCAAATCCAAGGCAAGGCTTTGTTTTCCCCATGCGGGAACCTCATTTTGGATTCCAGTAAATATAACAAGCGGTCAAGATTTAATCTCTTTTGAGAGATGTTCGCCTAGCAGCACTGTACTCCCAGGGTATAGACATGGGCTCACTACTGACTCAGAGGGAAGAGAAGTCACCTCTTGAAATGCCACCAATTTCTAGAGCCTCTATTTTCACCGCATCTCCTGTCCAAGTATTAATGAGGCCTGACCTTGCTTAGTTAACAGAATGTGCCAGAATACACACCAGGGGCAAAAATTTAGCATGCCCAGGGTTTTAGATTTGTGAAAGATAGCCAAATAAAGGACTTCAAGGAAATTATTTTGTCTTATATAGCCAAACGTATACTTCATATTACATAGGAATTTAGTAGCTATAGTTTGTGGTTGGTTTCTCATGTTACCTACCTGTATTTTTTCCTCTAATTTGAAGTCAGCAGAGCAGAGGCATTCAGTATTCCAATTAGAGGAATTTTCACGCAGTTTTGAACAATTCAGGCATTTGTCTGAATAATTAATCTATTCAACATAGAAACAAAGCAAGAATCAGATGCTGTAGGACATCCCCTTGAGTCAGCCACGTCTTAGCTGCTAAGACTCAATAAGCAGTTCTCATGTGTTTCCAAGGAGCATTCAAGTAACCAGGGACAAATATTTTCAAAGCAAGTCACTTACTCAAGACTGGGATGCCCATTTTAGGCACTTTGAACACAAAATCTCATTGAATGTCAGAGGGATTAATGTCTATAAGTCAGATAGGTACTTCTGATAATTCTACCCCCATCCATGAGACTCCTGTCCTGGCAGCTGAGGGCTGAGTGTACTTCCTCCATTCCCAGAAAAGCAATGTACCCTTACACTGCTCAATAATCATTGGAGACCTGGTGACCATCTATAAACTCACTAGGGGGGACAAGAAGGGTTTGGGGGAGACCTTGTTTCCCCTAGCACCCCACAGGATAACAAGGAATAACGGACACAAGTTGTTGGAGAGTAGGTTTAGATTAGACATCCGTAAGAACTACTTCACAGTAAGGGCGGCTAGGATCCGGAACCAACTTCCAAGGGAAGTGGTGCTGGCTCCTACCCTGGGGGTCTTTAAGAAGGGGTTCGATGCCTACCTGGCTGGGGTCATTTGAGCCCAGTTTTCCTCCTGCCCAGGCAGGGGGTCGGACCTGAAGATCTGCAAGGTCCCTTCCGACCCTACTTCTATGATTCTATGATCATCCCATCTGGCTGGTGAAACAATTATACTGACAGATAGGGGTGTGCAAAGCGGGCCCTATTCGATTCAGATTCAGCCTGAATCAGGGACAGTGATTTGATTTGTTGATTTGGATCACTGTCCCTGATTCAATTTGGCCGAATCTGAAGATTCGATGCCGATTCAGAGAATCAGCAATTCGGCCATAGACGGAGCTTTAAATGTTTTTTCTACATACCTCGAGGTAGCAGGCATGGCTCATGATACCTGCGATGCTGGGGCACAGAGCGTCCCACAGGAGTGTGGGAGGGCCCTCCACGTGCTCAGCGGCGAACCTAGAAGTCCGCCAGGGAGCGCGCCCCCCCCCCACCCCGTGATCAGCCACAGGGGAACCTCAGGTGCCCCCCGCCAGACCCAGATGGCACCAGTTGCTGAGCGGGGGGGGGAGGGGCAGCGCAGGGGGGCCCCCCCCAGCACACTCCCCAGTGAACCCGAAAGTGGACCAGTGATTCCCAAGGCAGGGCTGAAGCCAGCTGGTACACAAAGAGCAGAGCCATCAAAAAAGTCACTGAGACAAGCAATATATCTAAATTGGCATCATTTTGCTCTGTTTAACAGTTCACCTTCTACCCCAAACAAATGCCTTTAATGCTGAAAATGCCCAACACCCTATTATAATTGAATATTTAGCAACATCTTTTCATAATAAAGACTGACAATTTAAGGGCTGACAGTATATGCTTAGATTATACAGTATCAGAGACAGAGTGAGCTGCAAGGCCATCATAATGTCTGAAAAATCCACTTTTTTCTGTAAGGAAACCAGCTCACACAAATGATCTCATGTTATTTTTTTAATCCCTTGGGTCATACAAAAATATCCCAGTTATCCTCGTCAGTTCTAGTACATGGTATGTGCTCCAAACCACATGAATGCTGCATATGGCAATGTACATTAGGGAAGGCTGGGAAACCTGGGGTACTGCACAATTGATTCACTGAGTAACCAAGAGTAAATCATTATATGTTTTAACTTATCCTGTGTAAAACTGATATTCAGTTACTTACCTATACCTAGAGCTGGTTATTTATTGTGAATAATGCTACTGGTAGATTTATACCGCTTTTCTGTTCATAAGTCAGTCACAAAGTGAGAGTGGTTTCTGCATATGCATTTGCTGTTTCATAAGTATTCACCAACATTGTTTACACAACCAATTTTAACCTATGGGTAGTTTCTGAACAGTTAACTTGGACTATTGATTATTTCTTGTGTGTGATTAGTCAGCTCAGTCACCTGGTAGCGTAGTGATAATAGCTGGAAAACCAAACCAAATAAAAAGCTGATAATGCATCCCCAAAACAGCTGATCAGTCTCTTAATCACGTGTGATAAAGTCTTTGAAGCTTTCAAGATTTGATTATTCTCACAAGTCCTGAACAGCTGCCAGAAACATCAAAATAATGTGAATTGATAGATGTCCATTCGCATTATTTGACCATGATCAGTCGCTCTGATTTCTCACTTGGACTTATAGGCTCCTTGCAGATGTTAAAAAAAACAAAACAAAAAAACAAAAATGGCACTTTACTTTAAACTCGGCATGTTCCCGTGCCCAGCCCAGCACATGCCCAGAAGAGGCAGCACGTTAGTTGGACCCAGCTTGCCCGACATCTGTATACATTGGGCGCTTTAGTGGGCCTTTTTTGGTGCTTTTATCTAATAGCCAATTGAATCAGCTTTAGCTAAAAGCACCAAAAAGCCCCCTGAATTGCCAAATCTGTACAGATGCTGCAGAGCCAGGTGGAAGTAACACACTGCTTCTTCCAGTAAAGCGCTCTCTTTTTTTTCATGTCTGCAAAGAGCCGTAATGTTCCATCAGGCCTACCTAGAGTAATTTTGTTAAAAAGCCTGGACACTTTCTTTTGTTGTCGTTGTTTCTTCTTTTTTTTAAGATTTGTAAACACAACCAATGTTTATTTAAATGTTCTAGTAATTACAGTGACCAGTCTATCTCCTCCCCTAAGCACATGGAAAAATTACAATGTGGTAATCTTTTTCCTGGTGATCAGTACACTTTCATAGGGGCACTGCAGATTCTAAACCAGCTGGGCCGACATACTTGTATGAAGGAAGCACACACAAGTACACAATATCATTGCAACCATCTTTGTTTTGAAGCACAAGCTCACTGTTATTTTTCTCCTAAACGCAATAAAATCTCTATGTAACATGTCAAAAATACACCCCAAACCAACCTGGACTTCTTTGACGCTCCTTGCGGACAAGATGAGGCAGACTCCCATGGTGAGGCAGAATACACCGATGAGAATGAAGCCAGAGAGGACAGACGCAGGTGTAAGTTCGGGCTGCCAGGCTGACAGTTTCTGTTGTTTGAATGCACTGTTATCTGGACATCTGGAAGGGGGGTGTTGTGCATCCTCCCTGCTCTTGCTTGTCATGATGTTCTCGTTGGAAAGGGGCAAGTCTATTTGGGCTGGAGAACTAAATTTTTGACCCTTTCTGAAGGCAGAAGCTGTGCTGTTTTTTTCAAACCTTTGTTACTTCCTGGTATTACTCATTAACTAGCTCTCCCTTCCCCAGCAAAGACTTATCTTTTACATTGATGCCCTGATGACTGTAACCAGCTTGTGCCATCACCTGCTGGTGTGCTTCAGACAGTTGCTGGGAAAACATCTAATACATTATGACTCTCCAAGATAGTTACAGTCTTTTCCTGCCTCACAATTTAATTAAGTGTTTGTTAGATTTGACTAAGCTCTGAGCTACCGATCACTGGCAGCACAGTTTCTACCTGGAAACTGGATACTTGCCATTCTGGGGTACCATCAGATAGATCCATTACTCTTTCTTCTCTTCTTATTTCCCTAGCTGCTTCAAACAGAGATGGGTTATAACAAGCAATGGTCTACTTTGGCTTTCCCAAGCAGCTGAGGCATTGGGTGACAGTGTGTAGGGGCTCCTATTCGGTGTCAGCCTGAGGCAACGTTTACCTGAAACCAACCATGATACCTTGAACAAATGCACAGCACTGAATCATTGGTGTCAGCCCCTCTGAGCTCTTAAATGCCACTTTTGACATTATACATCATTTCCTGTGTGAACTGGGAGCACAAGATACAGGGAAATAGGATCCCTATAGCTACTAGGGCTGTATGAAATTTCACCGGCAGTTTCATTTCGGCACTGTTTCAACTAGTTTGGAGCTCGAAACAGCAACATCAAAACAAAACAGAGAGCTTTGAAACAGCCTCGAAATGAAATGAGGCAAGTCAAAATGTTTCGAAATTTTCTAAACGTTTAGAGTTTCACCTGCAGGGAAACAGAAACTAAAGTAAGGAGAGGGAGGGGGAAGAAGGGGGAAGGGTGGGGAAGGAGCGCTCTCATTATTGACTGTGTAGCTGGCCAGTGACTGTCATCCTTCTCTGAGGTCCCTTCCAATCCCAGTGCTCTGGGGGAGGGATGGAAAAACTGCAAAGGAGGCAGCATTGTCTGAACTGTCTTCCGCCTTGGTGTCAGCTGAGTGACGGCGCACCTTAAAACACACACACACACACACACACACACACACACACACACACACACAGTGTCACCCACCCATGTCATGAGTTTTGCCTGTCAGCAGCCAGAGGTGCAGGGCCCCAGAACCCAGAACCCCTGCACCGATCTCCTTGACAGCGGGCAGGCTTCGTAACCACAGCAGGGGCTAGCAGGCCTGCAGCTTTCACCCTGCTGCACCTTACATACACAGTATCACCCATGTCAAGAGTTTTACTTGTCAGCAGCTTGAGGTGCAGTTTCCCCGAAACCCCTGCACCTATCTCCTTTAAACTTGGCAGGCTTTGTGGCCTCAGCAGGGGCTAGCATGCCTGCTGTTTAGACCCCGCTGTGGCTTAACACGTACACATGACGTGAGTTTTTTGCTTTCAAGACTTTTAGGTGCAGTTTTCCTGAAACCCCTGCACCTTGGCAGGCTTCATGGCCTCAGAAGGGGCTACCATTTCTGCAAGTTTCATTCAAATCAGGCCAGAAATGACAAAGTTATAGGCTGTTTCGAGATTCCCCGTTATAGCCTATGGGAGAAATGTTGAAACAGCAAAACTGTTTCAACGAAACGAAACACAACAGTAATTTCGAATCAAAATGAAATTTGAAATGCTGTTCCGTCGAAATGTCAAAATACAAGTCAAAATGGAATGGTGCCGTTTTGCACAGCCCTAATAGCTACCCTTTTCCCATCTTTCTTTAGTCCACAATGCAGCCAGCATGGCAGCTGCAGTTCAAAGGAGATCCAGCAATGGAAAAAAGTTGGTTGAATGAATAAAAGGTTATTTATTGCTCTTCCAAGTAATTCAGACTGCAGCCCCCCAGTTTGTTCCCACCTACACACTAGCTGACCTGCATTATAAATGGGACTTGTTAACAGATCGCACCACTGTTTGACTAAATATGTTCCTATTAAATTGCATCCAGATACAGGAGGCTTTGAATTTCAACCCCAAATACCCCAGCTTTCGTTTTTTTAGACAAAATCTTGCTTCATTTTCATTTTTCAGCCCAGTTCTACCATTCCTTTGATAAAGATCCGTATTTTACTAACCAGTAAACCAGCATATTTTACTCAGTTTGCTCAACATAGCTTAGGGACAGCAAAATGGACTTTTTGCTGGTTTGCGAGTCACCATCTGAATTAAGTAAATTCTAAATATACTTGATGTGCAAACCAGATACAGCCCCAGCTGGTTTCAGGTTCTGCTGTGACTGCAGAGCTAATAGTATGGAGGAGAGGGGGTGGAATCTTTTTACTTGCATTTTTTACTAATAAAATAAGTGCATTTGATCCAACAAACACAGAGCCCCATGATGCTATTTTTACATAGTCAAGACTTTAGAACTGCACCCAAGAAAGAGCCAGGACACAAATCCATCTCCTTCCAGGAAGGCATTCAGAAAAGGGAGGCAGTTTCATAACCCAGATATCAACAGTGTTTCCTTTTTCTCTCCCCAAGGACTATGAAGTTGTGTATTAGTCTCATACAAATATTCAATATAAAATGAAGAAGCAAGTGGGCCCGTTTTGTTTCCTGATATGATGGTAACTGGACTGCGCTGGAATGACACTACACTGTAGATCACATATACTCACTATGTAACACCAACCTTCAGGTGTCCTTCCAGCTGTAAAGTTGATAGAACAGACCAAAAGATGGTTAGATTAAATTTTTTATTTTTTTATTTTTTTGGGGGGGGGGGGACTGGAATGCAGACTGGTGCAATGTGTTGAATGCTAGTAAACCAGTTCTGCATATCAAACACCAAAATCCCTGCACTGTGGCAAGCCCTCTGGGGAGAGACTTAGACTGGTAGGAGTTAGTCTGCTCTCTCTGACAGGAAGGTGCTACTCTCAGCCTTTGTTAGCTCACAGAGCAAAGGACAAGGGTAAAGTCAGTGCTGCAAAATCCAAAGTCCTGGCCCCTGTCTTTTCTGTTTTTTATTCTTTAGAAGTCTATTCCTCACTGGCAGTAGGAAGGTCAGGGAGGCACATTAGAGACTAACTGAAACAAACCCTGATGAAGTGGTTCCTCAGTTCCTTGGAGAGAGAGAAGCACAGCTTGTCAGAACAGGCTGTGTGGTATGAAGAACAGAGTAGATTGGTTACCTGGAATCTCTTGGGTATGATGTTCATCTGCTTGCATCTAGTCAGCAAAAAGATATCTCAGCATACCTGAACAAGTTTCTTGTGTAGATTGATTGTCATCCATTTCATTTGACTTCCATGTGTAGAGAGACTAATTGTTAGTTTAAGTGCCAGCCTGCCCTACCTTCTGACTGACTTCAGACTAATAAAGCTAACTATACTTCTATTCCTTACTGGAGATCCACTCTGTCCAGGGCAGTCCAATCAAGATTTAAAGTGATCTGGGAAGAGTACTAAGACTCTCAGTGCTGAATGCTGAAATTTAGCTGGTCTGTGATAACTTTTTCATGCTTGGACATCCTGTTGAGATGCAAGGAGTCTATAGTTTTCATCCCTTTCTGCCTCCGTGCTCTCAAGAAGGGAGTTTCGCATCTTATAAGTGTGCTGCCGGTTACTACTGCCCAAGTGCAGCACCCTGCGCTTGTCAGTATTGAAACGCATCCTGTTTTTGTTAGCCCACCCTTGCAACCTATCCAGGTCTTTCTGCAGTCTTTCCCTCCCTACTAGTGTGCCCACCTCACCCCAAATTTTGGTATCATCAGCAAATTTAAACAGGTTGCTTTTCACCCCGTCATCCAAACCACTGATAAAGAAATTGAACAGTGCGAGCCCAAAGACCGAGCCCTGGGGGACTCCGCTGCCCACTTCCCCCAGGTCAAATATGACCCGTTTACCACCACCCTCTGAGTATGACTCTTCAGCCAATTTGCAATCCATCTGACTGTGTAGGCATCGATGCCACAGTTGCAATGGCAGGGGCTGTCTGATATCACTCTTAAAGGGGCACTGAAGGAAGGAGATCATTAGAGCAGAGGGGCTGCAGGAGGCAGGCAGGACAAGTAAGGTCGTCTTCAACATCTTTAGGATGATAAAAATCCAGAGCCACTATTTTACTGTCAATGTACATGGAATTTCAATGCAACAGTGTTCATGCAACAACAATCCCCAACACAAAAACTACACAAAAACTACACCCTCTCCTGTTTGGGGGGGGGGGGGGGGGGGGTGATCTTTACTTTATTATTAAAAGAAAAGGGAGCTCCCAAAGTAGGTATTTCTGCTAAGCACCTGGAGAATGGAACATCAGAATCCAGTCAGCCATTGCACAGTTGGTAATAACAGACAACACAATACGTGAAATACACCTGCAAAAGTCATCCCAATTAGTTACACCACTAAAAGAGTCCCAGCTTCACAGAGCCCTCTTGGCACAGCTTTATAATGCCCATTTCCAGAAGGTCGATTGTTTCTTTCTTTATCTGAAGAAAACAAAAATTGAACAAAACATAAAGGGGGGAGATTACCAAAAGTGCTCAGGGTATTGCCCATTACTCTAGTGATACATTCAACCTATGTATTCAAATATGTGTAATTAGTTAAAGGAGAGGCCCACATGCAAATGATGGCTTTACAAGAGAAACAGGACAAAGTCTAGAACTTATCTGTTCAGTCAAATGTCTCATCTCTGTGTTGCAATCCAGAAGTGTGGACACACCCAAGTCAGTTTAAAAAAGCAAGGCTCATGAACCAGTAACAGTGGAGCCCTGAGCAGCTTACG